TCTTGGGGGTTGTCTGGGTAATTCTGGACTGGACCAAATTCTTCTGCCTTTTCATGGTGATAGAGGTAGCTGCAGGCAGGTAGTGCATGTCAGCTGGGAGAACAAAGTCCTTTCCTGATTGCTGGTCACCTTGCCCTTCTCTGCTGCCTGTGTCAGTTACCCACAGTCCTGGAGCAGCCTCTGGGTTAATCCCCTAAGCTTCTGTGGGCGGGGTCTCCATCAGGGTAGCTCAGAGCCCTGCAGGGAGTGGCAGGTGGGCCGGGTGGGCTCTCTTGCGAGAGCGGCGCCCCCGCTGGGCAGCTGTGCACTGGCGGTGGCCTTTGAGTCTGGCCCGTGCAGCTGTGTGCTGGGAGGAGATGCTGGGTGGCTGATGGGTGCATGGCTGTTCCCAGGCCTCTTGGCCGCTGCAGGCTTGCGCCGGCCACTGCTGGGCTGCTTGGCCATAGACTTCATTTTAAAAGTGAATTACACCTTCATGCTAAAAACTCTCTGTACCCCCACTTCTGAGCATCTACAAAACATTTGCCTGGAAGTTACTGTTAGGGCATGCTGCTAGTGAAGGGACTGCAAATAGTGAAGGGGCTTGTCAGACCATCTCTTATGCTCTTAAACAGCTTTTCTTTGTTATTATCTTTTTTTTTGAGGTGTGGGCAGCAGAGGAGGAGAAACCATTCCTGATTCAGGGCCAAACTCACCTTCCTAGGCCCTCTCTCTGGTTCTACAGCGTGCTTTCCTGGCTTAGAGATGAAAATGCCAAGCTGCCTCTTAACTTGTTTTCCAGAATCAGAGGAAAGTTTATAATAACGAAATTTTATAGCTCCTGCCCAGCAACATATATTACTTTAAAAAATAAAAATAACCTTCCCTTATGCATTATTCTTTTACATGTACAATTCTCCTGATGTATTGCAGTAATATTCCATGGTTTGCTATGACTTGGAGGTTTATGGCCCTTCTGTGGCAGATCAGACTAAACATAATTCATTCGTAGCTACTTAGTGCTCAGGGAAATAAACCCCTAAACTTAAATAACTATGGTGTGACCTCTGTAAAATATTATTTATGCTTTTAAACTACTATTATGTAGATATCAAGATATGCCAAATGTTATAAGCCAAACACCAGCCAGCAAATGGGACAACTACTATTCCATTTATTTTTGCTTTCCTTTCTGGATATTTCTCTACAAATGCTATTTTCATTTAAATGGATTCTGGGGTAATTACCTGGCAGGGGGAAGCAATGTTCATTTATACTTTATTACAGAATATTACAGTAAGTAAAAAATTCTCAAAGCACCATAAAAATGTAAACATTTCACTAACTTACTGCAGTTTAATAAGAAAGACATTGATTATGTTTGGTATAAAATAACTGTCCTTGTTGTTAATGGATGAATGTACTGTCCTTGTTGTTAATGGATGAATGTACCCTGTTTGTATTCATTTCTGCAAATTAGTTTATGGAGGGAACCTGATTGCACATGTAAGGTTTGCAAATGGGAAAGCTAAGCTTAGCAAGTTTATGCCGGTGAGAATATATGTGCATTCCCAGTGCTTCTCATTCTAAGATTTTCAAATGTTTAGGGTGTCATCTCCACATCTCATTTGTTTCCTCAATTATTTTCTCTGCATTCAACTATATTGTATGAAATAATATGTTCAGTGGTAGTAAAGTAATGGAATTACTGGTTTCTTAATAATTCAACGTATCTTTGAGGACCCACTGTGTACTGGTCAGTCAACTTGGCACTGGCAGTAATAAAGATGAATGAGAAAAACATTCTCAGCCCTCAAAGTACTAACAGTCTGGATGTGGAGATAGGTAAGCAAATAGTGGACTTCTGGCCATGCAGCAAGCACTCTGAGAGAGGAATAAACACAAAGGGAAGACTAGGCTAAGGACAGGGAGTGGAGGAGGCCAGGAGGGCTTGTGGAGGACTTCACAGAGGACAGATGACACAGACACTGAGCAGCATAGTCTTGAATGGGCAGATCTGGATGGTCAGGTGGAGGAGCAAAACTAGCACAAAGACATGAGGGGATGTTGAGTTCAGGCTTCTTCAAATCATTCAGTGTGGCTGGAATTTGGTGGGACCTTGGAGGAAAAGGGGATAAATATTTAGAATGAGGCTGACCATGAAGGTCTTGTAGATCCTGCTGAGGAACTTACACTTCCTCCTGTGGGCTGTGCATAGACACAAGAGATGAGATTATAAATTGAGGGTAGTGTGATGAGATTTGTGCTTTGGCTTGTTCATTGCGGCTAGGATGTGGGGAATAAACTGGAGCTCATTAGCAGTCTCCCCCGACTTCCAAATGAGAAACGACTAAGACATTTTGGACAGTGACCAAGAGAGGCCCGACTGAATGTGTGCTTGGGATATAGAAGCAACAGGATCTCATAACCATTCAGATGTGCAAAGGAACAAGGGATGAGTCAAGGAGGCAGCTCAGCATTTGGCTTGAGTGATTGACAGGCATGCAGGAGTCATTTTCTGCTCCTGGTCTGTTCTTGGAAGAAAGGGTTTGGAGAAGAGGCCAATGAGTTTAGTGCTGACTACCTGGAGCTTATACTATGTGTACAGCACTGAGGTATGTCCCAGAGACAACGGAATTGTGAGCTTGCAGAGAAGTTAGGGTTGAAGATAGAGATTAGGCCATATATATATGTGATGTTCAATAATGTTTGAAAAGATTCATGAAAGTGAGTATGTGAGCTAATTTGCTCCTCTAGGTGAAATTTGAAATACCATAACTTAGTTAATTGCAAATTATGTTAATAAAACAGAAAAGTCTTAACCCCTAAATCCCTTTAGGAAAAAACTAAAATGTATTTTACATTCTATCACTTATGATGAATAGGACATGTTGCCTCTTCCATTTTGAATTCCTTACCCAAAATGGGAAATGTCTTTTACTTATTAAAATCATAACAGGAATTAATTCTTCCTTTGAAAATACTTAAGTGGTCCATTTAAAAGACTATCATTGCCTCATCCAGAAGTTATGCTTTTGTGTAAATTTAGAGGGTTCTGAAAAAAAAACTGAGCAAAATAGAAAGGAATATATTTCTACCTTGTCAGTCTTGATGACTTTCTAAAAGCTCATGCATTTTGGAGGATAAAATTAATGAGACCACATAGTGTTAAGCACCTTGGACTTTCAGAACAAAGGCCTTTTAGAAGAACAAAGTATCATTATTAATGACACATCATTTACAGTTTTCATCAGTAATGTAAGGTTTCAGCCACTTTAATGGGAACTTAGTTAAGAGCTTGATGTAGAGGGCAAGGCTATTAGCAAAGGTTCTTGACAGTAATACCTTTTGCTTCTAAGGAAAAAGATAAATCACACTCAAACTGATCAAAAAGACAAGCTGAGGGGTTCAGAAGGAGGTGAACTACCACTTACTGGATTTCTCAAAGGCCTTGTCATCTGTGAGTCTGCTGGTGAACTCCCCACTCTGCGGTGGGCTCCCTTCGCTGCCAGCTCCCTCCCTGCCTTCTGGACATGTTCCTGACCCAGAAAAATGTCTTGTGCTCCAAACCTCGTCTTTCCCTTTTACCCCATCTCTTCTTTCTCTCTGTACCCCCAAGCAATCTCTGCTGGGGTCCACCACCTCAGGATTTTTCTCTGGCCTCTGGGGTGAGCACCACTAGTGGTGGGAATCATAACGCCAGGTAACAAACCAGTGGGGAAGTATTTTTTCCTGAATACATGTTGTCTTATCAGGGCAATTATCGAGGAGGGCTGTGTTCATAGTCAATGATGTTAGCATTTTTGCAAATTCTTTATTACAAAATGCTTCTCTCCTGTAAGATCTCTTCAGGACCTTAATGTGTTTCAGTCAGATTCACCAAGGCCTTTTTAATGATGCTTTTTAAATGACATAGTTTTTGTTGAAAGGGAATTAAGAGAAATTCCTTCCTCTTTTTTTTTTCCTGGGGAAAAAAATTGAAGTTAAAAAAAAATTGTCATCTTAAGGCAGCAAAGTCTTAGCTACAAAAATAAAATAAAATAAAATAAAAAATCTGGGATGCAAAGAAATGCCCGAAAATAATAAAAAAGGGAATTTACAGTATTATCCGTGACTGATGACTTATATCCAAGGGTGTATAAGGAACTGATTGCATTGCAACTACCAATAACTGAGAACTTACTCAAGAGTTGTTGAGATCTCCAATAACAGAAAGAGAGCAGCAGCCTTAAAGGGAGGCAGACAGGTTGTGATTATACATTTAGTGCTACTTGTTACTAGCAGAAATCCCAGACTATTGTTCTGTCTCCAATCTTTGAGGATTGCAAAGACAATAAATTGTTTGTTTAGCTGATTTGATTCTGGAGATACCTGGAAAGCCTTTCTTGTCATATTATTTCTGTTTTGGAAGTTCCCACTGACTATATTAGTTTCTTTTGTTTGTGATTTATTTTACAAGGTAGATCAAAGCACATTTCCTGCCCAACTGTTGAGGTTTTCTCTTTTCTCATTTTCATCTCTAGCTAGGAAGCATTTACTGGACAACATGGGAATTCAAACCCGGTAGAGTCTTGAGATACCAAATAAAATGCTACAGCACAGGGATCATCACAGGAAAATGTTTTACATCTTTGTTTTTAAAGTTTCTGATGCTTTGTAGTTCAAAATACCTGGCAAATAATTGCAATTTGGAATTTCAGTAAAATACTGCCATGGAAGAGACTGGTATGATAACATTCTTTAATAACTTTTAATACTAAATATATTTTTTAATTGACCACATTTTATCAAATTCAAATGATAGTTGAAGATCGTCTAATTCATAGTACATGTTGATGGTAAGTTGAAGTTCTGTTTTAGGAAGTTTACACTAAAAGATTGAGTTCATTATGAGCCTTATTCTGACAGATGATTTTCTTGTTGCAATAGAAGTCTGCTGATAACAAGTGAGCAAAGTGGTTGGTACTGTTTGCGCCTTTAAGACCATAGTTCAAAAGAATTAAACAAACATGATAACAAAGTTAAGACAAACATAACCTTTATTCTCTTTCAAAAACCCGGAGAATAGAGTTGGAACCATATCCATTGATTTAATCAGAATACCTTAAATTTTATAACACTGGACTGAATATTATAAAAATGATAGCAAAACACGTAGTTGCTTTCAACTACATGGTAAAAAAAATGTGGTAAATCCCCTTATCCAACACAAAGAAGGGCTAGGCTAGTAAACTGCCTGATTAAACACTCTTAATAAATAAAAATTACTCTACACACATATAATATTTTCATTGCCTAAAATCACAGTATGTTAACTGACAGTACAATTGTGTCACATCCAGGAGTGAGGAAGCCAACACACTGGAATGACTAACTTTTTTTGGTTTACTTAAATAGTGGGACACATAACTGTTAAATCACAATTGTTCCAGAAGAACTGAGACAGATGTCAGTAAAAATGCATGCTGTCTGTTGATTATTCATTTCCAAAGCACTAAAGTAAAATGTTGATTATTCAATACATTTCAATATTTCTTTGACTACTAAAAAAACATACTTAAAGGTCTTTCACTGCCTTACTGGCACCAGCAAAAACAGTAGTAACTGGAAAGTAGCTGTAATAGGAGCAAGCACTGGACAATTCTGACAATACCGAACAGCTGTTTGCTTTGAGCAAATAAACTGGTTAAGTGATATCACTAAAGGTTTTTTTCTTTTTAAGTTCTTTTGCCATGAAAGGACGTCTTACTGTGTAAGAATCTCTTGGGATGGTGCCTCCTAACGGATTTACACCTTTGACAAGCATGTTCTCCCCTATCCCTCCATGCCTTTATACGGGTTATCTTGGGCTTCACTTTTTACTCTAACCTACTTCTCCCACCAAAATTTTCAAATTTTTAAAAAATTGTTTCTTAGAATAATTTTACACATATTAGGATGATTTTAGGGTAGTAAGAGTTTAACATTATCTCAAAAGTTCAAATAATACTTAAAATTCTAGTTTACATATGACTATATTCCTTAGTGTTCATTTGAAACAAATATGCGTCATTTGAGAACATATATTTAAAAGTTTTTTCTTAGACCTGAGGGAAAAGGTAGGAATGAAGGAAGCCTTTTTCTCTCTAAGCATAAAAAATAATTTAGATGACAAAAAGGATGGAGTCAGCAGTCAGGAGACACAGATAGGACTTTGGGGAAATCACTTTCCCTCTAAGATCCCTTCTAGCTATCTGACTGTAAGGCCAAAACTTTCCCTCTGAGCTGTACAAACTGACCTGACATTTTCAAGTTTCTACACAGTACCTGGCAACCTGTTTTTTTTCCCTCTTATCCTGGAGTATTAAACGAACTGATACAAACTGTGCCCTGCAAATACATATGCCAGCTAGTTTTCTAGAAATAGCAAGGTTTTATTCATTCATTCCACATTATGGAAAGTTTCCTATGTTCAAGGCAAACTGCTGGACCAAACCTGCAACATTATGATTGGTACTGTCCCTGGGAACAAATATCTGCCTGAAAAGCTGGACTCATATGACTGCTTCAGGCCCAACCTCGGACATAGGAAACAGTTTCAGTATTCTGATTACTCCCTGGTTCAGGGCAGTGATTCTCAAATTTAAGGGAATACAGGAGAAACCTCCAGAAGGGCTTGTTAAACACAGCTTAAGGGGTCTCACCCCAGTCTTACTGTGTCAGAATCTCTAGGGTATGGTGCCTCCTAATCTATTCACACCTTTAACAAGTATGTTCTCCCCTATCCCTCCATGCCTTTGTATGGGTTATCTGTGGGCTTCAGTCTTTGCCCCAACCCACTATCCCCAAAAAGAAAAGGGAACCACCATACTATAGTGGTAAAAGCTCTGAAGTCAGAGTCAGGGACCAATGAGTAGCCGCCTGATCTTGAAAGTCATTCAACATCTCTAGGTCTCAGTCTCTTCATCAGATAGTTTTGAATAAGAGTCTCTACCTCCCTTTTGCTCTCAAATGCTACTTTCAAAACCTCACATCAACTTGGTAAATCGTAAAGGGGATGGAAGAAAATTTGCAAGGATGTTTCACTCTGCAAACACCCCAGCGAGAGTCTGGTAGACCCCAACTGGGTGTAATTCCTCTCTCTGGTCTCATCCAGAAGGGGAGGAAAAGTGAGGCGAGGCTGGAACTGGATGAGGGGCAAAAGGGAGAAGACAAAAAAGCAGCTTGCAGGAGAGTTTCTGCAAGCGGCAAGAATGGTGCTTTGAAAGCAGGAGTCACTCCTCGTCCTCGTCCTCGTCGTTCTGGTCCTGGTAGCGAATGTAGACGACCAACATGACAAAGCCCGTGAGGATGCAAAGGGAGCCGACGACCAGGTAGGCGATGCCCAGGAAGGGGTTCTTGCCGCCCATCCACGAGATGCTGCTTAAAATGATGCTTTTGTGGCCGCCGAAGGCACGCACCGGGTAGTTGTAGGTGATGTTGACGCGGTAGGCGCCCCGCGGCAGGCCGGCCGAGTAGTTGCCATAGCGGATGCGCGCGTACAGCTTGCGGAAGGTGGGCAGCGCCGCCGTGCGCATCCACACCACGAAGTCCTGGTTGACGAAGCCGGTGTTGTTGGGGTCTGGGCTGAGCTCGTAGACCGGCCGGTGCCAGTTGGGCGGGGGCGCGGTGCCGTGGAAGGCCAGCGCCAGGCTGCCGTTCACTGGCGGAGGGTTGCGGAACTTGACGTGGTAGTCGGTCCACCAGGCGATGCCGGTGCGGTCGAGCGGCACCTCGATGTAGGGCCCGCCAGCCCGGCGCTGGTGCCACAGCGAGAAGGAGTCGTTGAAGAGGCTGTTGGCGATGGCGCCGCAGGGCGCGATGGGCAGGCCGGCCGCGTTGCGCTGGTAGGGGGCGCACTCGTTGGCCGGGTGGCGCAGCGCGCTCGGCAGCCCGCTCAGCTGCGCATCGTCGCGGGACACGCCGTAGCGCCGGTTGTTCTGGTAGAAGTTGGTCAGCTCGTAGTAGAGGTACACGGGGCCCTGGAAGAGCTCGGGCAGCGAGAAGTACCAGGCGCACGAGCAGCTGGGCGGCGACGCGCGGCCCTCCTCGACCGCGGCGCACACCGAGCAGTTGCCGGTGCCCGGGCTGCCGGTGTAGTCGTACTCGATCTCCTTGATGCCGTTGGAGGAGTAGAAGAGGCCCAGGCCGAGGCCGGTGAAGGCCAGGCCCACGCAGAAGAAGAGCGGCAGCGTGATGCCGGCTGACAGCAGCGGCTGCCAGGCGGGGAGGCGCTGCTGCGTGAACGCGGTGTTGTCGGGCTGGTGCGCGCCCCGGACCGTGGCGCTCCAGGTCATGGCGGCCGCGCCGGGACGGGCGCACCGACGACGGAGAGTCGCTCAGGTCCCTCTGCGCGGGGCGAGCCCGGGGACCCCTCCCGGGACAGATTTCAGCCGCCTCAGGTGAGTTTTTGCCCCGGCCCCACCTCTGGCCCCCGCCCAGGTGAGTCTTAGTTCCAGGATCTTCGCGCAGGGACCAGACCCCTCAGTTCCGCCTCGGCCCAGGTGATCTGGGCCGGCTCCGCCCCTGCGGGTCACCGGGAGCCGTGCCCCGCCTGCCCGGAGGTGTGCCGGGCTGGCGTCCTTTCCCCACCTGGCGGGCTCGCGTTTCCTCCGGACGCCAGCTCCTCCTCCCCGAGGTGAGTGGCGGCCCCAGGCGGCCTCTGAGCGGCCCGCCCCTCACTCAGGTAGCCCTTCCCTTTGCTGTACAAGTTTCTAGAGTGCCTGGGCCAGTCATTCCGAAATCACAGAAGCTGCCACGTACAGCACAAAATTCCACAGAGGGATTGCTCCGTGGGCCCTGGAGACTTGAAGATTTCAGATTATTACTCTTTTCTGGCGAGTGGGGGAAAGTGACTACAGACTCTCTTGTCTATTTGCGATCAATTATGGGCCCGCTTTAAGTCAGTTTACGGTCACAATTTGTAAGCCCAGAGGATTACACTGTGGTAAATCTGTTACTGATTCAATACCTGCATCCAAATTCTAGCATAATTTTTTAAAGGGAAATTAATTTCTGGCCAGCTGCCCCAATCTGGCTGTATAACTAAGAAAGGGGAGCATTCCCCTAAAAATAAAATGACTCTGAAAGAAGAATAAAAAACTGCAAGAGATTCAGAGCCTATAAATATCTCTCTAGCTGGTGGAGAACCCACACAAGAAGAAAAATGCACTGGACTACATGTGATTTCTTTTTCTTTTCAGATTATTTACCTGACTGGAGAAAGGCTTTATTCAAGGTCTCGAAAGTCCCTAGCTGCTACCCACAGTCAAGCATCTGGGAAATGTTTGTCCTAAGAGGTTGTACAACAAGGATTCATAGAACTTATGTAAAGAGAACCCAAATTATCTCTCAACATTGTTTGGGATTCTGGATCTTTTTTTTTTTTTTTTATCTAGGTTGGTATAATCAACACAAAAGGATACTGGGCCATTTCAGCTTTGTGCTAAATCTTCCTAGTTATTGAGGTGTTCCTGCCTCTCCTCTAGTTCATAAAATGCAAGTAAGTTAAATACTTTCCATATTACATATCTGCACCTAAAAAATATATTGCATTCAGGAGTTACTCAAAACCCACTGAAACTTGGAAAGTTAAAATACTTACTAAATCAAACAACAGGAATTTTTGTTAGCATCTTCAGAGTGTTCAGCCCTGTGCCGAGCAATGTAGAAGACAGAAAGAATTAGACTAAAAAGAACCCTTCAACACAAGGCATTTGCAGTCTGATAGGGGACATATTACTTAGGAATAAGAAAGAATCAAAATAGCCAATAGACAGCATATAATCAAGCCCCAAACTATACTTTACAAGAATGATACTAAAATAAAAAACTAGTATTTCAATAATGACAAATTGGTTCTATCTTATTGAATGGAATCATTGCAAGTTGGAAACTTTAGCCCTTAGAGAATACCATGGGAGACCCAGATGACTTGAATTCCACTTCTCATTTCTAATCATACCCCAAAAGAGGAAATGCCAACACTGTCAAAAGTTCCTATTGTTTGATCCAGTCTTCACTACACCTTTTTGCAGTAAGATAAAATAATAAATGGTTTTCTGTATCACTACGGTTGAGCTCCACTCACACCTCTATCATTGAATCATCAGTCAATTTGATTATAAAGTCCACAAAATTAGCCTCTGGGAAGGAATTTCCTTTTCAAAAGTTAATATAGTAGCTCCTAAGTCTTAACAACTGCCATGGCACCACTCTGCTAAAAGTGTGAACCCTTCTGGTGAGCTGAGAACCTTTCCATCTCTCCCCTCCCTGGATGACCTGAGGTACATCAGTTTATTTGTTCTGCGAACTAAGGTAACACCAGAGTGTTCCGGAAAGCCATAAGAAGAGAATATTTCAAGACAGGAAATGGTCAACAGGGTGATACACAGCTGAGGGTTCAAGTGAGATAAGAAATGATGAGGAGCCATTGGATTTGACTTCTGTGGGAACAATTGGGCTGGTGGGATGGGAAAAGCCAAGCTATATCAGGTGAGGGAAAGGGATAGGATAACTTTTTGTAGGGATATGTGAGGGAGGAGAAAGGCAAGTGCTATCACTTAGAAGGGTATGTATCCTAAAGGGAAGGTTTCTTTATAGTTGGCTGACAAGTGTTTATTCAGAGGGAAAAAGATAATAGTACAGTCAAGGTTGGAGACAGGTGACAAATTCAAGGAAGGTACAAAGCGGGGCAGGCAGGAGACACAGGGTCTAGCAAACGGGTCTAACTGCGTCTCTGAAACTAGAGGGCAGAGAGTAAGGAGGGATGCAGATTGCAACTGGTCCTTGGGCTCAGCTCAGGGAGAGAAAGTTCTCATTTGATAATTTCTGTGCAGTAAAAGGTAAGGTTGTCTCCATAGGGAAGAGGACGAGGAGAGGGAATTGCCCAGGGACCCCTGAAGGGATATTAGGTGGCTTTGTCTAGGGGTGTCCTGCAACCCGAGCTGAGAGATGGCAAATAACTGAACATGTCCAGTGGGTGGGGGTTTTCAAGGCAGGTGAATTGGAAAGATAAAGGTTCAAGATACTGTGGTTCTGATGGAGGGGGTGGCTCAAGTGATAGGCCTTGTATTTAAGCTGAATGGCAAAGAAAATTAAGCTGGTAGATCACAAAAATGTAGGAACCAGTAGACTGGCAGTCCAAATTCTGTTAATGAGCAGGTGGCATTAAAGCTGGGAGGGAAAAAACACTGGTATAAGATGGGATGTTAAAGATTTTGGAGGTAGAGAAGTGCTGACATCTGTGCATATGTCATATTTCCTCTACCAGCTCATAGACTCTGAGAGGTCAAGGACTGATTGACATCATTGTGTCCATTCTGAGTTCATTGTGTAGCAGGAGTTCTCACCTCATGTCTTTCCTTTGGTCATACTTAAAGGACATGTAAACTCTTCTCAGTACCAATAAAGAAACAAATTTATTCTAAATAATTCTTTATTGCATCTCTTTATTATAAAGATAAGTCAAAGTGGAAAAAAAGGCATTCTAATCCCAATACTCCTAAAATCACTTCACTTTTCCATTTTATCTTGTGGGTTTTATCCATATATTTAATTTCTAATTGGTTGTACTTTTATAGAAATACAGTTACTATTGTTCTACTTGTTAAGTACCTCCTTTCAGAATGAAATAAATAAAATTTTTTTGTGGTCTTCATAGATATTTAATGTTCTAAAATTCACTGGTTTTCCATATTTATTCTATTATTGGATTACTATCTACAATGATGTAGATATTTCCAGTTTTTTTGGTATTTCATAGAATATACTAATGGACATTTTATTGCATACAACCATTTATGCTGTCTCCCTAGGATAAATTTCTAAAAAGATAGGGGCTTAAAAGTCAAATTATCTAGATTCTTTGACATTGCTACAACGATGTGTACTTTGCTATGATCACCAAAACTTTGTCAACAAAATCAATTGTTATCCACAGAATATATTTAGTCTATGCTAATAAATTAGCAGATACTAGGAGAAGCAGTCTAGGATAGGGCAAAGAATGCCACTTGACATTGAGGAAGTCCAAGTTCTAGTCAGGAAATAACCATGTGGCTTTTGGGTCGACTTTTTTTAACTACTCTGGTCTCCTGATTGCTTATCTGTATGAGTGTGTTTACGAAAATGAGTGAAGATCCCAATGCAAAGATTTCTGTTCCTAGGCATCTCAGAGGTGTGCCTTACCCTGACTTATTGAATAAATGGTTCGAATGTTTGGAGTACCTGCTGTGGATCAGTCACTCTGTAAGCACTTTATATACACCATCTCATCTAATTTGCACAACAAACTTAGGCAGTAGGTACTATTATGCCCAATGAGCTGATGCAGAACTAAGACTTAGGCTAAGGAAATGGGAGGCTGGCCAAGTTCTTATACAGGTAAGTGGAAGATCAGAGTCAAAGGTCTGCTTAATTCCAACTGCATTTTCAGTCACACTAGAATGCCTGGGCATACTTAGCTCTTCAAAGAATCTAAAAGACTTCAACCTTGAACTTATTTTTAGTGTTTCAAGTCTTCTCTTATATTCCAAAGACGAGAATTTTGTTCCAGTTATGCAAAGTTCTAGAACATCTGAGTTGCCTTTTTGTGTGTGTAACAAAAGCTGCTGTTTTAAAGTCAGCTTTTGTTTAGCATGCCTATTTCTCTTGCTAAAGTAAAAATAATGGCCCTTGAACTTATTTTTAGTGTTTCAAGTCTTCTCTTATCTCCCAAAGATGAGAATTTTGTTCCAGTTATGCAAAGTTCTAGAACATCTGAGTTGCCTTTTTGTGTGTGTGTGTAACAAAAGCTGCTGTTTTAAAGTCAGCTTTTGTTTAGCATGCCTATTTCTCTTGCTAAAGTAAAAATAATGGCACTTGTCTAGCTGTACTAAGTTTTTGCATTTATTTCATTTAATTGATGACTATTTATCTTACCATCGTAGAGCCAGGGTTTTTAATTGGTGCTCCCTTACATAAGTTTATACTCCTTAGGATTGTTGCCTATTACTCTGCCCATGGGGCAGCTTTTATTTAAAAGGAATCAAATTAAATTGCTTCATAAAATTACAGCATGTGCTCAGAAAAGTTTAAAAAAAATTCACTGTGCCCAGACTTCATTTTTCATTAAGAGCTGTATTCCCCAGACTTCCTGTTACAAAAATTATGGGGTGGTACCCCCTAGTGGAAGATACAGAGAAATTTCAGTTAACTAGTACTAAAAGCACTGGAGGTGCAAAAGACAGACAGCAAGGCCCTCTGCTCTTTGCTTCTGTGTGTTCGTTCTTTTGTCACTAACTTACTATAAAATAGTGGGGGTCAACTGTGAGCAGAGTTGGGTGAGTTGAGCTGCAGGTTGGGAGCAAAAGAAAAATGGGACTCAGCTAGGTCTTAAGTGGCATTGACATTGGGTATGTATGGGATGGCTGCATTAAGAGACAGTGGCTGAGCTAGCAAGGATGGGCCTGCACTTGAACTGCATGGCTGGAGTTTGGTTGTAGAGGTGGTGTTTGTTGAGTTGGCAAGAGAAAGACCCAAGATCTAAAGATGACAAGTTGGGTGAAAGAACTGAGAGGGGGTGGGAAGAAGAGCTCTGTAACTGAAAATAGTTACATCGAAACTGAAATGGACTATCCAGTGTGAAAGAT